TCAGGTTTACAGGAGGCTAAACAGTGACAATAAAGTGCACAGAAATAACTTATACACTAAATTATTTGTGCAGCTAATGCATGTCTAAAAATCAGAGAAGAAATTTACTGAGTAAAACAACATCACTGACTGCTGAAGAAAATGTAAGCTTAAGCATGCTTTCACTCATATTCTTTTTTGTATATAAAAAAAAATATTTTCAACATTGTTTTATTTTCATATTACATATTTATGATATGTTATGAGTGACATGCATTTATGGCAGTGTAGTAAAATGTGCATGCTTCAGCTGCCAAAACCATATATTTTACTAGCTTTGGTGGATAATCACACCTCCCACATAAACAGGCTTATCAGGACGACACTTTGTGCTCTTCTCAGTCAATTCATGACTGTAAAACATTCTGTTGTTGTTCATTTGGTATTGTTTATTAATTAAATGGTTAATTGCGAGTACTGAGCGCTTATGGGTGCATGATATGCAATGTTATTCTGAAATTACTGTTGTTTATGTAGATCTTTTAATTCAGTTACTTTTATAAAGGTGTTATCACATTTTCTACACTAATATGAAATATATAATTATGGTTGGAATGTACATGTTTTATCAGTTAATTCAGTTTGATATGTTTCTAAAAAGCATAAAATATTTTTACAGTTCACATTATCTTCTTTACTTCATTCTCACAGTATACTAGATGAATATTTTGAGTCAAATGTTGATATGAATATACAATGCGATGCACCTACAGATAATTCAACTATTGAAAATTCTCTAATTGTAAAATCTGTCTTTGACTCCAGATACTTTAAGATACTTAAGTGTTTGTTTTTTGTAAAGGTTTGTAAAAAGGATTAAAATAAACTCATCTTTTAAGAAGGTAGCATATTCTGACAAAGAGATGTTTGAAGAGTCCATCTTTAGTCTAGTTATTATCATTTAGAATAGAATAGTATAGAATAGAAAATCCCTTTATTGTCCCAGGTTGGGCAAACTCTGTTAATTTGATCTAACTGTAAGTATTCCAGTTTAATCAGAATGGCATGCTCATTAGATGAATGATGCTGGAAAAATCCTTTTGGCTTCTACCATTATAAAAGCAATAATTTCAAGTCTACTGACCCTGAACTGTACCTGTGTGCTTAGGTCAGATGAGACAAATATAGAGCTTTTGTGCAATAAAACAGTCCACTTTGTTCCTGGCAAAATATAAAATATATAGTTATCCTGGAAGGATAACTATATATTTCTTAGTTTCCATGGTGAAGGAACTGTGATGCCTGTTTCTCTTCTTAATGCCATGGAAATGTTTGTTATTCTTGCAGTGCATCAGGACTCTTAAAGTTGCAGTCTGTAACATTGAGAAGAGAGCAGACTTCGACTGAAAATTTGAAGAAAAACAGGTTTCACGCCACTCCCCCACCCTCTCTGCTTCCCTCATGCCCCACCTCCAAGCTCCACCCCTCTCACAGCATCTGCGCGGCTACCGCATGCGACCAGAAGGGGGGTGTGGGGTGGGGGGGCGGGATTCAGCGTGTGTGAGCTGTGATTGACACTCCATCAGACGCTCCTCTGGCTGTGATTGGTTGTTTTGACTCGTCCCGAATTATTCTTTCCAGATTGAAATACAGGCAGTAGGCGGTACCAATTGAAGCAGTTTTTTTCACAGGTTACATATCACATGTACTGCTGTCTGGGCATAGGGACAGTTTTAGCCAATATGACAAAAAAGTGATTTTTAAAAACTTACAGACTTCAGCTTTAAGAAAATACAAAGTGTTTTTTTCTCAAATTTGGTGGACTCTACCAGTAAGCTAAATTTTGGTTCTCCTTTGGTCTCAACTATCACAGTCAATGGACCCAAATCAACAGAAACCCTAAAGGGTGGGAAAAGGAAAGTTTAATTAAAACAATAAACTTTTTTTGATGAAAGTAATAATAACATTTAAATCTGATAAAAATCCAAGTAGGAAGCTTTACTTTAGTAAGATAACTTGGAGCTCATTACGAAGAATAAATGGTCAAACAAAATGCCAGGTAAGCAAGCCAAAGGCCGCTCAGTATTTGTGAGATGGGTTTGGATGCCGTTGTACCAACAAGGATTTTTCCATTGCATATTGAAGAAAGCATTATCATTATTTTCTTAAATATTTTCATTAAAATCTGAAATCTCCTTACATGTGAATTATATTTTCTCTAATACATATTTATTTAAAATAGATATAGTTTTTAAACTATTATTTCGCAGCATGCTTACCCTAAAAGAAACCACATAACAGTATAATACTTTTTTATAAAACTTTACAAGTGGGGCCAACAAATTTGTCAACATCTCTACCTGCCTTTTTGGAAAAAAATACCCTAACTTCGAAATTTCATAGATGGAGGGGGGAAGCCATAATATCATTCTATAAAATATTATAATTTTAGCAGAAATATATATATTTATGTGTGTGTGTGAATTAACCGTTTGTATTAAATCTCATAAAGTGCTCTGAACCATAGCTCACGTAATATTAGCCAGTGCAGTTATTCAGTAAAAACATATAAATGTATAACTAACCTCTTGCCATCAGCAACGTACAACATAACAAAGGCAATTAATTAAAGTGACAGTGTAGTAATACAGGGTGTTTAGACAAATACAGAAAGTTGTAGTTATTTCCTATGATTGTTTTAAGCTCTGCTGCTGACTCTGGCAATATCATGAAAATGTAATCTTCAAAGCTTCTATATAAGACACTGTAAACCCTAGAATTGTTATTATATTCTCCGTGTTGATGTTATATATTTTTAAGATTTCAAAGTTATTAAGTCTATTGCACTTTAACAACTAAAAGACTCCAACAGTTAAAGTACAACAATGTAGCATAATCAAAAAAGTGTTTAAACAGTAGATATTACACATGTCATTAGCTGCATTAGTGCTCTTTCCTGGGACAAAAAGTCTAAAAAAGGCATCTGATTTGTCAAAACTTCACCATTGTTTGGAATGTTTGTGATTAATCTCTGGCTGAGACTAAAGGAGACATTACAGACACATGTAAACATAGTTTGGCTGAGTTGTTAAAGCAACATTGTGTAACTTTTAGCAACGATGGTTGCGAGACCTGTAACCTTTGTGAACAGTTAACCTTTAGAAATAAAAAAGAATCCATATTGTTCCACTCCCACTTCAACTGTTTGAAATTGATCCAAAAACAATTTGCAGATCAAATATTATGGTTGAAAGCAGGACTTATAGCTGTGACAAAAGTAGAAGCTGCCGAGCCTTGAGCCGAAGCAAAAACAACATGGCAGGGCAGGAGGACCTACATGTAGCTGCTGCTATCACCACTGTTTCGTATGAATTTCAGATTTTTCCATTATTATCACTGAATTTAGCTTTAACTAATCCGCTCAGAAGGTTCTGCTGAATGTCATCCCTTTCCCTGATTTGATGGCAGCAGTCCCAGGTGGATAATGTGTCGAACTAAAACTTAGTGCAACACATTATCAATCTGGTTTGCCAGGTTAAGGTTTAGCAACCACAAAATGAACTGGCAACTCTGCCCTGTTGCGAAAGCAAACAACCTCCCTCCACGTTCTGGAATCTGATAGCAGACCACATTGGGCAAACATATTGAGAAGTCATCCAGTTACTTGTGATGACAAGGTCAAATTTACCCCTCTAGATTAAATCCTACATACATTGAACCAAAAATATGTCTGATCAGGTAAGAGTCATATCCGTTTTGAGCCTAATAAAAATTTTTTAAGGACTAGCTCTCATGTTTAGGGGGAGCTCAGACTGCTGTTGCTGCTGACTCATTTACTGACAGATCAGACCATCTCAAGTTGCAAAGGCACGTTTTTGAGAAGGGCAGAGCATCGAAATTTGCCAAGAACTGTAAATTGATCTGCAATATCATTAGATGCATCTTAAATGAAGCTAATACTTGAGTTAAAACATACTCAGTGTTGCTTTAAAAAGCTGCTGATCAGCTGCCATTATGGATGTTACATATCTCCTAACTGCATTAGCTATGACTAGGAGTGAACTCTGGTAAAAAAAAAAAAAAAAGGCAGTGTTAAAAACAGTGAAGGAAGAATTGGATCTATGTTAAAGTTTTTTCTTCACCAGCCTATTTCCCAGACATTAATAAATTTACAGAAATGTAATTGCTTTTAATTTTCATCCTGTTTTCCTAAAAAAAATTATTAGATCTAAAAAGTTTGTTTAAAAACCGTCTATGATGACTTAAGCTGACATTTTTACCACCAAAAATTGTAGCCTGCTTTGTAAATGCCTATTTTTTATGAAGCACTTTGAAAAAATTATCAATATTCGATAAACTGTTGTTCTTCATTTGTTTGAATGTGTCCTTCACCTTTTAACATAATGCCTCTGGCAATGCTTATAGCTGTTAACTATTAAAAGCATAAGATATAGTTCTGTTCATTGGGATCATTACTAATAACTTCCCTGTAGATTTGCCATTTAATTGTTTTTCGGTTTTTAACAGCTTTTAACTTAATATACACTTTTATTTGCCTTGAACTACCCAATAGCCAAAATGCTGCATGGATATCACTAATGCCTGTTGATTCATATTCTACACATACAAAAAAAATCATACTGGAAGCACTTTGCCATCATCTAATGGTTGGAGTTTTGCACCACTGTATCTAATTTATAAAAATTGCAATATATATTTAACAATATATATTGTTCAATAACAATATTATTGTTTAGAGATATTGGGTGTAAAATAAAAATATGGCTAATCATTTAAGGTTATTCTACCAAGCAAACTTGCTGGGTACTACCTTGTAAACTTGGACATGGCAAGAATGCGTATTCTTATTGATCCAATCTGGAGATTAAAATGAACAAATTCCCTGATTTGTTAAAGAAAAAAAAAAAAAAAATCTAAAAGCGACCATTTCTGGTGGGGATGGATGAATATCCACATGTACATCGATACATTCATACAAACAATATTTCCCTCGGTGCATTGGACCCATTTGGTCAGTGATGATTTGCGCAGTGGATACTATAGCATCTGAAGGAGGGGGTGCACATTTCTGTAAGAGAACAGAGGAAAAAATTATGTGATTTTGACAATCACTAATTTTGTGTACAAGAATTTGGTGCACCTTCTGAAATCAAAACCAAGATTACATCAAACAAATACAAAACACAACAAGAAACAAATCTACAATATGTATATGATGATTCATTCCATTTATTTACCATGGATGGAGATGATGATCCATAGATGCTGGTTTAGGTTACTATGGTAATCTAAAAAAAGAAAAGCAAAATATAAATTTTCAACAGCAATGTGCTATGTTCAAAGCACTCTTCTAAATGCCCCTGTATAAGAAAAACTAAATTATATAACATATTTGTAGACCCAAGGGCAAATGTAAAAAAAAAAAAAAAAGAACTCTCCTACTGTCTTCAGAATGGGAAAAAGATTGAAAATGTTAACATATAAATGGATTCAATTTATTCATAATGTTTCCAACTGCTAAAACTGCTCCTTTTATTGGGCTACACGCAACCCAACGGGACAAGGAAGCCTATTGGTTGCTTAGAGTAGCAGAAAAGTTGTTTTAAGGAATCTTGAGGTCAAATAAGTCTGGCCAAGTCTAACTTTTAGGGTTTATGTTTTGTTTGGAAAGTATAGGACTATGGCATCTTTAGAAACAGCTGAAAATAAACTTTAAACTTGGTCACTTTATAACAAAAATCTTCAAACCTAATGTGCACAAACCTGTAATTACATGTTTAGTAGTAACAAATCCAGAAGGATTAGGTCATGTCATGGCCAGAAATGGCTTGAAAAAAAATATTTTTTTATTAAAATTAAACTGCTTTAGTTTATAAATTGAAATGTTATATCCAGATTTTCTTACTTTGTTCCCTCTTCTGCAACAGCTTCAGGCTCGAGCTTTCCCTCCTCCTCCATCTTTTCCTCTGAAATCAGTTCTTGCTTTCGATGTCGACGAAGACATTTCACAACCACCATTGAGAGGATCAGAAGAGCCAAAGCTCCTCCCACTGATGCCCCAATAGCAACAGCAATGGTTGAATCTCTTGGAGGGGGAACTAGAGGGAGGAGAGGAGAGAGTTAACTTTTGAGGTAGACAGAAAATGGAATCAAGTGCAGTGCTCGCTAAAAGCTCTGATTAAACAAGTGAAAAGAAAGTGCTGCTGAGTTAGCCTGTGTATGATGTGGGTTGATGTGAGTACCGGTGTGTGTGGGTGTGTGTGTGTGGATGAGCGAGAGTAAAGCTAAGTTCAACCTCTTGTTGGTCATTAATAAGTAAAACGCTAGCTCATCACAAGTAGATCCCAACAGTCTAAGAAAAACACACACCAACATTCACCCACTACGTTTGTTACCTAGATTGATATTTTATGAAAATTAATTCACAATTTTTTTATACATGATCTGTTTGTAGATTTGATTCCAGGAGCAAAGCCTACTGATAAAACAACCCAACAACATTGATTATTGTCGATTTATTGGGCCATATAAATAGATTTTAGGGTCAGGGGCGTTCTGTTGGCTTTGATGACTCAAATGAGTTTATCATTTTAAAACTGAATATACCTTGTTTATGTAATCGCTATTAACCTGTCAATTTAGCAGAATTTAGAAGAAAGTTAAAGGAGGACCACAATACTATTTCCACATTATTGTAAAAATTAAGTTCTTCAGAAATAATTGAAATTCACAGTAAATTGACATGCATTTATCCAACTTGTTCAAATAATTTAGTGTTACCATTCTTGCAGAGTACAATAAGTTTTCCTCTAACCCTGTACATTTCCTGCAGATCTTTTAATAGTATCTCCTAAAAGAAAGCAAAGGTTTAAAACCAGGAGTCAATACTCCACTGTTGGTCTAAAACGGGATATGTGTAAAGACAATGTTCTTAAAAATGAATCCAAAGGAAAAAAAAAATCTTCTAATTGTGACCAGATGTTGAAACAATAGCCATAAAATGTAAACAAATGTGTAGCAAAAATAATTTTTTTCTATTGCCATCTAGTCTCAATATCTGTTTAAACTATTTATAATTGCTGGAGATGTAAGCCTCTCCCACTGTATTTCAGTGGCGTTAGATTAAAGCCTTGGGAAATATAGTAGAAGAGGGTAATGCTTTTTGTGTGGGCCGAAGAATTTTTAAAATCTTACGTTCTGTGACCACACTGAATTTAATGACACCATGTCCTTGGATGCGATCCGGAGGGTTCCTCACGTAACAATTGTAAATCCCCTCATCCTCCAGTTGAACATCCGTTAGCTTGATTGATAAGTCGTTTTTATCCAAGGTCCCAGAAAACTCCACCCTATCTCCGAAGCGGTTCAACGGCACTGGTTGCATTCCTTTTTTCTTATCATAAGTCATGAACTACGGAGGGAGAAAGCAAAGCTTAAATCTGGGTTAAAACTGTAAAGCTGATTATTCCTGGTTTTAACCTGTTTAAGGATTAGTAAGCTTACCTTCTCCTCTGTGCTGTTCAGGCTCTCTTGATACGTCCAATTCATAGCAAACTTTGTGAGGTCAATTTTATAGCAGGAAGTGAAGGTACAGGGGATTATGACAGTTGTTCCATTGAGTGCATTGATGTAACTGGGCACTATCACATCCATGCTTGAACAACCTGTTTAGAAACACAAAACACCAGAAAAAAACAAGATTAACTAAGCTCATCATAGTAAAATATTTCTTTAAGGCAAGGTACCCTTTGAGATGCATGCTATTAACAACCATGTACAAATGGCTATCCCTCTAAACAATTAACTATGTGTCTTACAATCACTAAAAATTGTAATACAATATGGACAAACAGTTAAAATACCTATTAAATAAAAGCCTAACAAAGAAGCTTCAATTTAGAAGGATGTTTGTCTTTGTATTTTCTCCTTATTCAAACTCCCATTAGTTGAGTAATTCCTCTCTCTTCAAACGAAAGTTGCAGTCCAAGACTGATAGTAGGAAGGGTGGAATAAATTTTTTTTATCCTGAGGAAATTGTTTTCTGAGCTGTGTAACGGGATGAGATGAAGGGATTAAGTCTTTATGATCAATATGGGCAGGAACACAAGTTATAGGATGAAACAAAAATAACTGTTTAAATGGATTAACCAATATCCTAACTAAAGTATCCAGAAAAGCTTCAAGTAGTAGTAGAAAATAAAGTGCTTTTTTGTCTTTAGGATATGAAGCAATTTAATAAATAATTAAGCATTGTAACTAACTTGATTTTGCGACCTACATGTCTAACTTTCAATTTATTACACGTGATAATTAAAATAAACTAAGAATGTTGAACTACCAGGAATAACTACCCTTACTGTCTCTATACAGCCCCCCAACCTCCAACTAGGGTCCATATCCTCTCTCAGCTGTGTTGTTTGTGTGTGTGATGGGACTCTGCACCAATCTTTCCTCTGCAGTCAAGTGTTTCTGGCTCCCTTCCCACAGCTGCTGCAACACTCCATAGGCCTGCATCTCTGCACCACACACTCACACACAAACCCTTTTACTTACCCTATCCCTTCTCTCTCTCACACACTCTCTCATACAGGTGCTGGTCATAAAATTAGAATATCATGAAAAAGTAGATTGATTTCAGTAATTCCATTTAAAAAGTGAAACTTGTATATTATATTCATACATTACATACAAACTCATATATTTCAGATGTTTATTTTGTTTAATTTTGATGATTACAAATGACAACAAATGAAAATCTCAAATTCATCATATCAGAAAATTAGAATATTACTGAAGACCAATAAAAACAAAGGATTTATAGAAATGTTGGCCAACTGAAAAGTATGAACATGAAAAGTATGAGCATGTACAGCACTCAGTATTTAGTTGGGCCTCCTTTGGCCTGTATTACTGCAGCAATGCGGCGTGGCATGGAGTCGATCAGTCTGTGGCACTGCTCAGGTGTTATGATAGCCCAGGTTGCTCTAATAGTGGCTTTTAGCTCTTCTGAATTGTTGGGTCTGGTGTATTGCATCTTCTTCTTCACAATACCCCATAGATTTTCTATGGGGTTAAGGTCAGGAGAGTTTGCTGGCCAATTAAGAATAGGGATACCATGGTCCTTCAACCAGGTACTGGTAGCTTTGGCACTGTGTGCAGGTGCCAAGTCCTGTTGGAAAATGAAATCTGCATCTCCAAAAAGTTGGTCAGCTGCAGGAAGCATGAAGTGCTCTAAAACTTCCTGGTATGTGGCTGCGTTGACCCTGGACCTCAGAAAACACAATGGACCAACACCAGCAGATGACATGGCACCCCAAACCATCACTGACTGTGGAAACTTTACACTGGACTTCAAGCAACGTGGATGAAGTGCCTCTCTTCTTTTCCTCCAGACTCTGGGACCTTGATTTCCAAAGGAAATGCAAAATTTACTTTCATCAGAGAACATGACTTTGGACCACTCACCAGCAGTCCAGTCCTGTTTCTCTTTAGCCCAGGCAAGACGCTTCTGACGCTGTCTGTGGTTCAAGAGTGGCTTGACACAAGGAATGCGACAGCAGAAACCCATGTCTTTCATACGTCTGTGTGTGGTGGTTCTTGAAGCACTCACTCCAGCTGCAGTCCACTCTTTGTGAATCTCCCCCACATTTTTGAATGGGTTTTGTTTCACAATCCTCTCCAGGGTGCGGTTATCTCTCTTGCTTGTACACTTTTTTCGACCACATCTTTTCCTTCCCTTCGCCTCTCTATTAATGTGCTTGGACACTGAGCTCTGTGAACAGCCAGCCTCTTTAGCGATGACCTTTTGTGTCTTGCCCTCCTTGTGCAAGGTGTCGATGGTCGTCTTTTGGACAACTGTCAAGTCAGCAGTCTTCCCCATGATTGTGTAGCCTATAGAACTAGACTGAAAGACCATTTAAAGGCTTTTGCAGGTGGTTTGAGTTAATTAGCTGATTAGAGTGTGGCACCAGGGGCCATCAATTTTGAACCTTTTCACAATATTCTAATTTTCTGATATGATGAATTTGAGATTTTCATTTGTTGTCATTTGTAATCATCAAAATTAAACAAAATAAACATCTGAAATATATGAGTTTGTATGTAATGTATGAATATAATATACAAGTTTCACTTTTTAAATGGAATTACTGAAATCAATCTACTTTTTCATGATATTCTAATTTTATGACCAGCACCTGTATATATATATGTACAGTATATATATGCACACTTCAAGTGTTTTCTAAAACACACATCTACCATTCTCTCCAGTCTGCATCAGCTGCAATTAGCTCACCTTTGTTAGTGTGCAATGTCAATGTCATCCTTGCAAATTAACCAATATGTATATACACTTCACAGAGATGAATTAAAGTAAACACATCTGTTGGCATTACAAACATATATTCCCTTGCTACAGACAGTCTAGCTCAGCTATACAACGAGAGAAACATTTTTGTACAGACTACTGTTCCTGCTGACTCAGCAGTCATGTGGCTAGTAAAAAAGAGAGGCAAATGCAGAGACTGCCTAACAGATGAAATACTGCAGTGAAGCACCCTCACGTGGCTCCTCCCTCCCTCTGCCTCTCCCTCTTTGCTCTCCCAACTTTGTCCACCTTTCTTGCTCCATCCCACCTCCTTTCCTGAGAGATCCACTTTCTAAGCCCACTCCAAAAACCACACACACACAGACACTAACACAATCCATTACAATCCTAACTTTAAAGAAGTTTCCCCATTTCTATTGCTTTCACTTACCTTAATGTGTTCAAATGTGTGAGAAGACAGGGCAAGCGCATTTCTTTTTTTTTTTTTTTTTTTTTTTTTTAAGAACTTACATGTTATTGATTTGAAGACAGAGCAAATACACAACATACAATGACAACAGTTTTTTACAGTGTGAAATTGTACCATAGATTAACTGTCCCAGTATGACATTTTACAGTTTCAGCATCACAATTGTGGTCTCAACTCCACTATACAAACCTAGCACAATAATTCACCTCAGATGGCAGTACTATGAAACATAATCTAGAAGAAATAAAATAAAATTTGAGTTGTAAGACTTGTTTACTTGAGTAAATCTTCCACAGGACCCCAGCATTTGCTGACATGTCTTTTTGAAGTCTTAACGAGTACTTTATCTTTTCAATTTGGTATAATTCCCTTACAATTTGGACCCATGAGTTATAGGAAGGCGGCTCTGGTTGCTTCCACTTCATTATGATGCATTTCAGGGCTGCTGTAAGAGAACATTTAAGAGATCTGATTTGGCTTATCCTTGCAGCCCAACTGGAAAAATACTGAGTATTGCAACAGTTACATCCTTAGATAACCTCCTGAAAGATCATCCCAAAAGTTTAGCAATTTGGGGCATGACCAGAACATGTGTCTATGACTGGGGAATGCAGAGCCACAGTTTCACCAACACAAACTTGATACTTTAGGATCCATCTTAGCTACTATGTCTGGTGCATGAAATATCTGCTGATAATTTTCCATTTATATTCCGCCATTTATTTGAGCTTGTAACTTGATGTGCCTCATTCCAGACTTCTTCCCCCACATCATCAGAAATACTTTTGGCCATCTCTGCCTCCCATCTTTGTTTTGTCCAAATGGGTCCACTATACTGTTTATGGTCAAAAATATCTTATATAATTTTTTGATCAGCCTCTTATCCCCTTCACCTTTGTGGAGTTGAATTAGTAATTGGTCTATTGGCGTGGGGTTTAGGAGTCTTTCCCAGTCCCTGTGTGTAGACAAAAAGGAACGCAACTGTAGGTATCGGAAAAAATCTTTTTTTGGAGATGAAAATGCCCAGGCAAGCGCATTTCATTGTCTTTTAGATCAGGATTCTTCATATCATTTTCACTGTAAGTGATAAAACTGGTAAATATGTTTTTTTTTATTTCAATAAGCAAATTTTGAGCCCCATACATTCCAATTAACCTTGAAAGGTCAAAATCGGGATAAAAAAAAACATAACTTCAGGCATTCCAGAAAATAAAAAAAATCAATAAACTGGACTTTGTTTCAAAGTTTGAAGATGTGTTGCTTCCCATTCAGGAAGCTTTTTCAATTCAAAATGTCAGAATTAGCATTGGGTTCGAAGCTTTATAGAGCTCAGAAAACATGCAAATTGAACCTGAAAAAGGGGCCCGCCCCTTAGGAATGAGGATTCATTTGGGTTTAATGTTAGCCTGCAATACTCGATACTGGTCTATGCCGGACACTAAGTCTGACATTTTGAATTGAAAATGCTCCCTGGATGGGAAGCAAAATGGCGTCAAACTTGGAAATAAAATCCAGTGGATTTATTTATTTTTTTTTTTACTTTTTTGGAATGACTATGACCTGGATAACTGAGAATCTTCACCAGCATAAACACCTTCATTTATTTCTAGACTTTTGATAAAAAAAGACACAGAATACCATCGGATCTTAAACCAGTATTAGTTTATAGGGAAACTGGATGCCAGACCAATTAGTCTACTTCAGCTTGTCCCCAACTTAACTCATGATAGCTTAACTCTTTTCACTTTAACTGAAGTGCATGCTGATAATATTCTCTTCCAATAAGATTCATAGGTAGACCTATTTACCAATCAAATTACGAAGGGTTCACTGCTGTGTTAATGACAAAAAAGAAGTTTTGAAAA